CTTGTGGTTATTAGTAAATCCATTATATCAAACTGTATTTATTATGGTGTGGATCTTAATCTTGATCCATTATAACGATATTTTAATTAATTTCCGTTATATTAAGAGACTGTTTTATCGAAAGTGATGTGTACCACGAGAAGTGACTAATTAGAATTAATTAAATGATTGGTTCTTCGGTTATCATTGGCCACTGCTTACAGTATTTACAATAACCATGATTAAGATTCGGGTACTAATTTTAATATAATATATCCCCAAATTACGATACCGTAGTATCCAGATTCTAGATCAACTTTATAATCTAATATGTGTGGAAAAACTTATTTATTAATTTCTTGTATAGATATTAGTAAAATTAAAATAAATTATAGTTAGGCGATTATCAATTATCGTGTTATTTTGTAAAGTTTAAAATTAAACTATTATCAAATTTTGATAATATTCGAACGCTTTGTGTTCATTCTTTTATCGCTGATTCTTCTTTATATATATTAATGACCAATCATAATTATTTTATCATCACCTATGACTGAAATATAACATAACTCGCTTTACTGTTACCAACTTGGTCAAGAATATAATTGTAGATCTGTAAAGTGTGTTCAAGAGTAAATTTACGCCAATCGCATATAGGGCAATTTGGAACCAATTTAAGAATTTTAAGACATACAAAAACAAATCTTTTTATTTAGGATAACCTGAAACCAACTTTACTAACAAGGAACATTTATCGTCATTATGTCGTTAGTTTAAAGAATGGGCAGTTCCATGATTTTTGAGATTATGGACCACCAAATTGGGCTTGTGCATAGAATTATATCTCATGAAAAAGTTAAATAATATACGATCATTAATTGATATTGAATCTTAACGATCCAATTACAATCTTAGTTTGCATATAATATTTTCGGTCTACATTCAAATAGATTATGTATATGCGTTTAAAATAACTTCACATGTGACAAATCTGTATCGTGTTACATAAATAAAAAAAGTTTGTTTTTTTTTTTTATCAATATGCTTTTTTGACTTATTAAATTTCACCGAACCTCACTGAAGCTTCCATCCAGTGGTAAAAAAAATATGACTGGAAGGGTCTAGTGACAACTTACCACTGGAACCTAATATCTTCCAGCTTCATCCAGTTAGTTCCAGTAATCCTTCCAGTTCCAGTGAAATTCACTGGACCGGTCTAGCAACAACACTGGTATAATATATCCAATTCAATACATAATATATATGTTATTGATATATGTGTATGTACATACATAAAATTAAATCTAAATATATCAAAAGGTATTACTAACCTTAAATCAATTTACTTGACCTCCATAGGCTCACACACTCAAATCCAGACAAAATCAAAAATTAAAAGATAACCTAATTATTTTATACTAGTTAAACAAAAAGTATAGCAAATTTTTTGTGTGAATTCAAGCTTTAATAAAAAAACAACTTCCACACTTATCAAGTTACATATACCCAAGGCTTTTATATATTGATTTTAAACAAATTTTGAGTATTTTTTTAGTTCTATTTTCATATGATTTCTTATATCATGCTACAAGAAAAAGTATAAATATAATGAATACAATAAAATTTTTGGAGAGAAAATACATATAGATCCGAACTGCATAGTGCAACACAATAATATAAAATTTTTTATAAAATTTTATCTGCTTTAGTGAAAAAGGAAATTTGGCTGATTACAAGCAAGCATTTAACCAACAAGCAAATAGATACATGCCTAACCTTATTATTAAAGGCAATAAACAGTGGTAAATTATCAAAAAAGATTGAGAAGAGTTAATGCTATAATGGATTAACTATAAGCCAATTTTTATTTTAAAAAAAAACTAAACAAATAAAATTTTTTATAAAGTAAAATACCTATTAACACTTTTATAATGAATAATTTTAATAATCAAACATTGATTCAAACTCAGCTCCAAATTTATCTTCATCAAATTCTTCAATTTCATCATTATTCAAATCCTCATTTAAATTATTATCATCATTATCATTAATATTTTCATCATCATTATTTGACTCAATAATATTTAATGTAATTAAATTTTCTATTTCCAAGTTTTGATCTTCAACTTCAGAGTCAATGAAATCCTCAGACTCATCCAAATCATTAAAATTTTCTTCCTCATCATCTTCAGAAAACAAAGCAATATCTTGAAAAACAGTTTGTATTTTTTCTTTTGTCAATTCCAACCCATAATAGTGTAATTCTTTTTTTGCATTTGATATTAAATAAGAGCTTATTTTCACTATTGACTCTAAATTTTTTGTTCCTAGCCTGGTACGACAATCTCCTAAAATCCATCCACAACGTGATCATATACGCTCACAACTTGCTGCATGAGGACATACTGAAAATAATTTAACTGCTAAAGAAGAAAGAGCGCCTAATTTATCTTTAGTACCATTACCAATAATTTTCCACCATCGAGTTGGGCTATCAATAGTTGACATATAAGATCCATTATAAGGTTCTTCATTGCAAGCATATTTATGTAATTGAGTTTTTAATATTTCTAAATCAGCTTTTTTAAATTTTGATCCAACCATTTTGGTCCATAAACGACCTGCAATTCCAGCTACTTGAGCAAATTGTGATTGTTTAATTCCAGCACTAATAAATATATAATTATAATAATAATAATTTTTTTTGTCTGGATTTGAGTGTGTGAGCCTATGGAGGTCAATGGATTTAAGGTTAGTAATACCTTTTGATATATTTAGATTTAATTTTATGTACGTACGTACACATATATCAATAACATATATATATTATGTATTAAATTGGATATATTATACCAGTGTTGTTGTTGCTAGACCGGTCCAGTGAATTTCACTGGAACTGGAAGGATTACTGGAACTAACTGGATGAAACTGGAAG